TATATATGTGTTGACGTATTTATGTTACGTTAATGTAGTGACAAACACGTTGCTTTGCTACATCACAATTATGTGAATACCATAAAATGTTCAGAAAAGGCAAGATTAGAGCGCAACCGGTGTTAACCTGTTACAAGTGGGTAGCACAAAGTCAGAGCAGTTTTCACCGCCTGTATTTCACCCAATCGAACGGATAAATGCGAGATTACTCGGGATTTAATTGATTTATTAAAGTTGCGCAACGCTCATATATGATCTTTGTAGTCGAGCTTATTTAACTTTAATATAGTAAGTAAAATGATTCTTTGATGATAACGGTTTTGTGTGTGCAGGTGTGGAAAATATTGTATTAATCAATTTGTATGCAAATTGGTTCAGCACGGTATGCTGTCACGAGCCAGACTGATCACGTGACCCGCGTTATCTCAGTCATCGACTTTGATAATTATATCATACAAATATGCCCGGCATTTCAGATAAATAAATACTTACATACCTCGGGACACTTATATCAAATATCATTCTACTATACTAACATGTCTGTATGCATTGGATAACCACGCTGGAAAACAGCCAACTGTAAATTGATTGAGATACGGTTCATTGTTCATACTAATACTACTGCAGCCTGGCAAAAAAATTAGAGATATGCGAAACACAGTTATTGACCTTGTAAGAAAAGCTAAGCAAAAACATCTACTTAAACTCCAAAATTCCCTTATTGACAAATCTATTCCTCCAGGTAAGTGGTGGCGGGTTGCAAAGTCTATTATGAACATTAACAATAAATCAAACAATGATGCTCCTCTTGTAATAAATGGTGAACTTAAATCACATCCTGTGGATAAAGCAGAATCTTTTAACTCATACTTCACCTCTGTCTCTACTTCAGACAAAACTGACCTTGACATTCCTCCTAATTGTCCTATCTCACAAGAAAAATTATCTTCCCTTACTATCACTGAACAGGATGTTCATGATCAGCTCCAACTTATTAATGTAAAAAAACTGCTGGTCCAGATGCGCTTCCCCCTTATTTTATTAAAGGTATTGCTGACTCTCTTGTAAAGCCCTTACTGTTAATTTTTAACAAATCCATATCCATTGGTTACATACCTAATATTTGGAAGTGTGCTAATGTTACCCCAATATATAAGGGCAAGGGAGGAAGAGGTGACCCCAGTAACTATAGACCAATCTCTGTCACATCATTATTTAATAAACTTCTTGAAAAATAGTTTTTAAACATCTCTTTAATTTTATATCTGAGAATAATGTTGAATATATCAAAAAATCAGTCTGGCTTCCTTCCCAATGACTCCACAGTTAACCAATAAATATATTTATATGATGAAGCTTCAAAACAACTTGATCAAGGAAAAGAGGCAAGGATAGTATATTGTGACATCAGCAAAGCTTTTGACAGGGTTTGGCACAGTGGATTGATTTACAAATTGAAGAAATATGGAATTTGTGACGACGTTTTGAACTGGATTCATTGCTATCTTACTGATAGACAACAAAGGGTATTAATAGATGGCTACAAGTCAAATTTACAAACATTAAAAGCTGGTGTACCCCAAGGCTCGGTTATCGGGCCTTATTTATTTTTAATATTTATTAATGACCTAGAAGATGAACTCCAATCCCATGTCAAACTCTTTGCTAATGACACTTCTCTTTACGTTTTGATAGATGGTGATGACAGACATGGTGCAGATATTCTTTAATGGGGATTTAAATAAAATGTCTCTCTGGGCTGATAAATGGGGAATATCATTTAATCCAAGTAAAACTGAATCATTACTAATGTCTAATAAAAATAATTCTGAGACATCTCATCCAGATTTGGTATTCTCAAATAGTGTCGTTATAAATGTCAAAAATCATAAACATCTTGGTCTGCTTTTTAATAGTCGTGGATCATGGTCTGATCAAGTTAATTATATATATGGAAAAAGCTGTACAAAACTACAAATAATGCGAATGCTCAAACACAAGCTAGATAGAAAATCTCTTGAAATAATTTATAAATCTTTTATAAGACCAACACTTGAATATGCTTGTGCTGTGTGGAATAATTGCACCCAGGGTGAAAGTGACTTATTGGAATCAGTCCAATTAGAATGTCTCAGAATTATATCAGGTTTGAGAAGAGGTACAAGTCATAACTTAATATATAAGGAAGTTGGTGTAGATAAACTAAAAATAAGACGTGATAATTACCAATGTATATTATTTTTCAAGATACTGCAGCATGACTGTCCTGACCATCTTTATGATTGTATTTTACCATATTTTAATAATGATATTAATCCTCGCCTTAGACATCATAGAAACTTTATTGTTCCCTTGTGCATAACCAACTTGTATAAAAATAGCTTTTTTCCTAGAATGATGTCTCTATGGAATAGGCTAGACTGTATTTTTCCAAAACTCACTTCATTGAGCCAGTTAAAACTGGAATTACTTAAGGAAAGCACACACGTTTTGCAACCATCTAACTGTACGGATATTTTTAAATACGGTGGCTCCAGGAAGTTAAATATAACATTATGTCAACTAAGGAATAAAGTCAGCCAATTAAAATCAGATTTATATAATGATCATCTTACAGATAACCCTAAGTGTGACTGTGGTTTTATTATTGAAGATGCAAGTCACTTCTTCCTCAATTGCCCCAAATATATAGATGAAAGACAAGTTTTATTCAATGCGTTATCTAATTATAACGAAATTGACAACATCATCTTAAATACTGTTACTTTCACTAAGGGTGATATGAACCTTAGCAGTGAATCAACTAAATTTATTCTCTCATGTGTTCTGGAGTTTATTGACAAATCTGGAAGATTTTAACTTAAACTATACTAAAAATTATATTACAATGTGTTTGTATTTGCTATGTTATAACAATGACTCTGGTGTTATTGGGAAGGATGGCACTGCGTATAGTGACAGTGTCTTTGAAGTGCCTCCAACCAAACACTAGGCTATTAATAACTGCAGTAAATAGACTATATTAATTGAAATGGTAAAATCTATGATATTCTAGTTACATGTATTATTTTCTGTGAACATGTATTAAATGGTTCTAGTATTCTCTTATTAATTCGAACATATACTACATCTTCTCTATAATACTCTCTCTATATTTATATGTGTATATTCTCTGGAAAGGGCTTTTATAGGCAATGCCTGTGCCTAATCCAATTGTGTTTTTTTGAATACAATAAAATTGATTTGAAATGAAAATAACGGTTCATTGTGGAAACGTACGGCACATACATTATGTCTCTATGTCACTATTTCTGGCTTAAATGGTTCGAGTTGGGAAAAATGTATTTATATTCCGAATGAAATTAAATAAAAATAACAACTGAGGATGCACAACAATGCAACTAAAAGTTGTCAGCATTATTTCTCCTTTTAATGACTGTTTTTAACTCATCTTCCACCAAATGCAATAAATACATTCTCGGCTAAAAAATTGGTCCTGGGGACAACTTTATTCTCAGTGCATCTTTTTTGCAAGCTTTGTAACACTTAAAAAAAAGTCGGGTTTCTATCGAAATTAAAATATTTTAAACCAAAATTTGCTTTAAAGGCGTCTTTAACTTAAGCATATTGACAAAACTAGGGCAAAATATGAACAAAGAAAATATTACCATGAATACTTTTGAAAATATACATGAGAATACGACCACGTGTTCCGGAAGGTTAAGCGTCTTCTGCTTCATTGAGGACACCTGTCATATAAATCCAAGGCGAATCCAGGTAACGTCACGTCCTCACATCGAGAACTCGGGTAGTGACATTAAAACCTAAAGGCACTTTAATGAGCAAGACCGAAATAGAAAGTCACGTGATTGATCATTGCTTGTAAAGCCTCTAAGGTCAATTAGATATACAACATATAAAAGGTAAATCTGTAGCAAAGTCTTGACTTGATTCACTCAAGAACAGATTTATGATTTGTCAAAACTCACCAATTGATAAGGAAGTTTCAGTTGGAGTCGTTTATCAAGAGTTTCAATAAAAGAGATATGTTATAAAAGAGTAGTCCGCCCTATTCAATGGTTAGGTATATGGTGTTTGACAGTGTTTGAACCCAATGATGTCCGAAGGCCTGGGGTTTACTCCTGGCATCGTGAACAACAACTTGTGTTGGACCTTCAAGAAGAGTCTGACAATGATTGTGTTTGTATTGATACTTTTGTGAAAGCCTTTGGTGAAGAAATGGATTGTTATATATCTGCGCGTGAAATTAAAAATGAAATTAGCATTCGGAATTATAACATATACCATTCAGATGTCGCTACTTTTCTGTGCAAGAAAACGAATCGGGCAAGAATAAGCGCAATCACAACACAAAGCAAACCAGTGCTAGCTTGTATGTTTCTTAAGTAATTCAATAATTGGTTTTCAAATATCAAGGCTTTTTGAGACGACTATTTATTAGGTCAAAGGTATTGAACGATACATTTACCGTATGTCTTTACCACTTTGACGATAAGAAGTATGTATAATGAATTATATAATTTCAGTTGTTTCTTATTTTGACCAGTAAGGAAAATAAAAAAAATGTCAGATACTTGCGCGTTTTGCAAAAGATGGAAACCGCTTTTAAAACAATTCCGCCAAAAATTCGATTTATTCTTATACAGTAAACTTGTCCGTTGTAGTATTGTACATTTAATAATGTGTAAGCAATAACTGTCTCCTCTGAGCGAAAAATAACTCATCGGCATTTCGACCACTTGTACTGCTAACTGAGTCTATACTTACTTTTATATATGCCTAATCTTCAGCGTGTCGCTCGTTACAGGCAAACCTGTAATATACTACATATTTGATACATGCTCGCTGTTTAGTTGATGGATGTAATTAGATATAAATATAACATTTACAGATGTAATTGACGCATCATAGCGCACCGAACATATCTGTACCATACAAAAATATAACTCGAATATCACTGATTCATACATATATAATTTTATTGCAATACACATACAATACATTGAATAAATTAATACATAAATATCATGAGATTCAAAGGTACGTACACCTCATGAGATGCAATTTTTCAAATCTGGGTATTGTATAAAAAGTGTCTTATCAATTCCGATCCAAGGCAAATACTGTCTTTTCATTTACAACCTTGGACGAACACTGCCTTTTTATTTTCAACCCTGGGTAAAATATGTTTTTCAATGTTCAACCACGGGCGAGTACTGTCTTTTGATGTTCAACTTCAAGCATCTACTGTCTTGTTATGTTCAGCCCGAGCTACTACTGTCTTAACGTATTTGACCCTGGGAGAACAATGTTGAGTAATATTCACGTCCAACGGAAATATTGCACGTTTTGCGAGTATTACAGATATTCGAACACAACGTAAATGTTTAAAATAATATAAAACCACTGCCGTACATAAGTAAAATCATTGAGTTCAGTGTTTCAAAACACGCACTTTCAGTAAAACATGCTTCCACAAGTTGTCTATAATTGTAATTCACGCGAGATTAGCGCAACAGCGTCCTATTGATCCGTACAGATATATTCAGCTTCACTCGGCATCTTGATTGTAGTATCTTTGCGGACTGGTATTGGGTTACTTCTTGTCTATCTGGATGATAACAATGATCAATGATCCTGTTACAATGCTCATGGAACGAACGATGGTTTCAGGAAACACACATGGTCTCACTCACACGAGGATGAATTTCATTCAGCCATATCTTGACCAAGCTTTTCCAAAACCACGGTTCCTAAAATATATCTGTCTAAAAAGTCTCCTCAAAGCTGTTTCTAAGTTGATCAATTTTCCTTTATGTTTCTTATGCATTGCTTTGATAAACGAATCCTCGTGTCTTTTGTATTGAGACCTACGTCGTCCATGATGCTTAGATCGGGCTAGTGTTGTTGGCCTTGGTACTGCGCGTTTTGAGCGTGCTGACCTTCGGTATCTTGATTGAATGATACCGATTCCTCCGTGCAACAACTGCCATTCGTAGAATATTTCCAACACAGCCCTATTACTGGGAATACTCATGTCAAGATGGCGCGTATCTCGTTTCGTAGGAACCATAGCCACGGGTGACGCACGACGATCAATTGGTTCGTGGTGATGATTTTCTGAAGATATTTGACGTTGTGACTCGTTCCCAGTGAGATCCTCTGGTAGTGGGATCATCATTATGTTAGTAAGTTGCACCAGGAATACTACACACAGCAGTTGACATCTGAATATATAAAATAAAGCAATGCTATAATAATAATGTATCTAACTACTAACATAGATTAGTTATATTCAACAGGCAATTAGTTATCTCAAAATAAAAACAAAAAACAAATAAAATATTTATTCTATTTCATTTTTACTATAGTCATCGATAACTATTAAGATGTATGATCTTCTATGAGAAATGAATTTCAGTGTTTTGCAGGCTGCGAATCTACCGATTTTTTCGTGTCCATTTTCCTCATCGACAGCAAAAATTGTTCCGCAAACAATCTTTTACATTGTCAAGTTTAGCTTAAACATTTTTTATTCGGATAACAAAGGGAATCGCTTGCCAACTATATTGTGATGTGAGCGACAAATCGGTCTGCGGGCAAACTTTTTTAGCCCGGGATAAAAGCATTTTTTTCTGGCCGCTATTTTATCAGCAAGAAAAGAAAACCGGCAGGCATGAAATATATCGGAAGATAGACAGCAGCTTTAAATTAACACAATTTGATTTTTTTATGCAATTAACTACCAAAATTATTCTGTACCATAGAAATTCGATAAACAAAAATGTTGCCTCGAATAATCTACATCTCCAAACAATAAAACTTTTTTTTAACGTCATATAATAATTCAAAATGTATTCATACATGTAACATCAAATTATATAAATATGTTTTATGTGCAAAAACCCAAGTTCTTCCGTAAAACTGTTTTGTGAAATCATCAATTCTTACCTGTAAAACTTCATCCTTTTGGCTTCGATAGAGAACGGAATTCAGGCGAGAAAAAGTAGATATTGCAAATATTATAAGATTGTGTTGACGAGTCAGGGATACAGGGTACTAATGAGACGGGTAATGATAATCGCACTTTATATAGGGACATCCTCGGTGGTAGTGTACACAGAAAGCTAGGAGGTAGGAATTTGAATTGTCTGATAAAATAATCCGCGTGGAAGGGTCATTTCACCTGAATTCGAGATAACGCGTGATAATTCAAAGTAGCGGAAGATAAAAATAGAAAAGTCTAACTTCGCGTTGGTATGTAAGGTTTAAAGATGTCAATATCAGCAATGCTAGTTATTTTACGACAGGTATGAATGGCCTTTCCTATAAGATAAAGATGACAAAGCTTAAAAATGCATTGCTGCGCCTTCAAACATCAAGCACTTTACCTGGAAGCAAAGCCCAATCTCTAGAAATGCATTTTGTGGCAGTTTAAAAAAGCTATTCATATTTTAATTGTTTTAGTTAGAAATTAATTATTTTGTATTAATGAAAATAAACTTCCTTTTTATCCTGCCTTTACATCTAAACATATTGCTTGTTTATGTGTAACTAAAAGTTAACCCCTTGTCGAGGCTTAACAGAAATAGTAAAAGTAGCGATAGCCTCAGTGTATACATGATCCAACCTTCAATAGATATTAAAGTTTTCGGAGGTGGGCGTCAATACTTAACAATGGCTGTAGGGGTATGGATATGGTTTATCACCACGCTCGCGCACATTAATCTTCTTTTTTGTGTGTGAGGGTTTATCGATTTTCTTTTAATCAAAGAAGAATTATTTTAACACATGGGTTTCGGCTTTAAAAAAAAGATCAATCAATAATATAAAATCTGATTAGCTGTTATGTGGAAATAAACGCCATTTAAAAAATGAACAATGACTGCAATACAAACAGATACATTTTTTCAGTATACTTTGTTATTGACTGAAAGGGAAACGTTACTTATGTTCATATTGTTCTCACATAAGGATAGGTGTACACAAATTATTCACGTCGTATGTGGAATATATGTCGAAGGACGCTCATATGTAATTTTCAACTTCTAACAAAAAAAGCTTCGTTTAAAACAAAAACAAAAATAAGTGGGATAGACCAAACGAGTCATTAAATGATCCTGTGATAAATGTATCACAACATACAAAATCTGGACAGGAGGTCAATAGGTGGTATTATTTTATGTGTACAAGGTACTTCAGAAACGTTTCATTGGAAGGCTACTTTTATTGATATGTTTAAGCACAGGGTTGCTAACATGCCAGTTCATAAAGGCAAATAAAATTAAACGGCTGATATTTTCTGTTTTCGTTATTACCCTCATGGATATGAGAGTACGTCAGAAGTTTAGTGATACTATTATGAATAGAAAAATATTGCAATTGACCGACTTCCTCACAACAAGGAAGTGAATGAGATACTAAATATAGTTTTTAACTCTTCTGTAGACATACAACCAGCTTGGACAATTTGAAATTGTAAATTTATATTTACATTTTGCCAAAAAATGTTATATTGTACTGCTGACGTTATTTCTTTATTTCTTTAAATCTTAAATTTTAAACATCGTTTTCGATTCACTGTTGTTATAAATTCGATGCTGATTTTTAATCAATTCAATTTCAATTTTGACAAATATTATTGACGAAAGAAGTCAACAGGATTGGACATCAAGCATTGCCTATATAAGTCCTCTCCTTACAGCTACAACCGATGGTGAACACATTGTTTACATATATTAAAGACATTTGCATTATAGATACACAAAGGGGAAGTAACTCCTCCAAAGCAGATTATATAATAGTGATGTGTTTAGATAGTTACCGTTATAATTAGGAACTAGTAATAAACTAGTTTTGCAAGAAATATATATCTACCTTAGTTATAGCTACACTTTTTCTATATATATTATATTATTAAAACGTATATATTTGGTAGATTTGGCTTTATCTCAATAGATACAGGCCATACAAAGTCCATATGTCATACATTAGCCATCCACTAACGGAATTTCAAAAGCAGGAGTTATTTTGTGTAGCTAGTACGGTTATACCAAATATGTGGTATCCAGGGGAAAGTACATATGCAGGTATAATATGTTATTTATGACCATTATCATTACAATGAAAAAAATTAAACATTTTTTTTTTAATTCTTATAAGATATATATCATTCGTGTGTACTTCAGCTTTATCATAGGAGCATAACCAGAAGGAAAATATGTGTTTGAATCAAATTAAATTAATTTAAGCTATACTTAGCTAATTGAGGTATTTCATAATGATATCTGCCAAAGGCAAAAGAATACATGTACATAACATGACAAAGGAGTAGGGGCGATAAGGGCCAAAATTGGACCAAACCAGGAACTTCTTAATCTTCATATCATATCATCATGAATATATGACATTCATAAAAATGTGTTTTCCTTTAAAATTAGAACTGTCGTTACCTAGCAACAGAGCTGTAAACATTAGCTATTTTTTTGCATATTTTGGCACATATTACCACAATAAATCCATTGATGGAATTCAATTTTGTTTGTTCATGTACAAGGTACATGTAGTTAACAGTTACTTGCATGTTTTGCTATAAGATATAGATAGCTGTTTTAAATAAATCTGTGAGCTAACATCCATGGTCCAATTGTACTTAATTTATATATCATAGCATATCATGTTCCATAGCAACCAAATAAATTCCTTGGCAACCATACCAGTCGGCTGTAAGTCAGAAAAGAAAACAGGAAATCCATATTCCTTTTGTGATATACCAATAGGTGATTTATTCAGTATTTGGTATCTTCATTATTTTCTGAATAAATTACTAAAATGTATCTAATTGACATCCACAGCAGCAGTAGTTCTTAAATAATGTCCAATTCCACAAAACAAATATTACTAGACTAATTGATCATGAACTTTTAAATCAAATTCATTTATTTGGCAATAAAAGGTGTCAACTAAAGTTAACATCTTAGGTTGCCAATTTATGACTTCTGTCTGACAAATGTATTTATATATATTTGATAAATAAATGTTATTATTTAAGTTAGTGTTTGCCTTTTATAGACTTGAGGATTTGATAGAATGTATAAGGTAGTAAATGGACAAGGGACTGTTGTTATGGAAATGGCTTTTGAAAGGGTTACATACATCATTTCATGGGTACAGTGTAATAAAACTACTGGCACTGTGTTGTTGGTCGACAACGTAGTGTTGTACATGCTTACTTCTCATTGAAAGGCCCGGATATTGCCCTATTTCTGTCGTAGCTATTTTTTATCACAGGCTTTCCAAAAAGATAAAATTGACCACACTAAATGTTTGTTTCAGGTTATGTCATTATCAACTGCGTTCACTTTCGCTAAGAGATATATATGTTCAGTATCGACTCCATTTTCAGGTTGTCACTTAACTAAATAGCCCCTTTTATATACATTGCAATAATTAAATGGGTATAAATGTAATAACCACTTAATAATTTAAACACTAAAACATCTAAAGATCCAATATTAGCCATCTTCTATGAAAAATGCATTTAATGATAACTCCCACAAATGAAGTTAAATATGAACTTCTCAGTGGTTTTTGATAATTACATACATGCCATATTGCACACAATTATTGAATGAATTGCTAAAAAAAGTCAATTTGAACACTGCATCATACCTAGATACCACTGTCATTCCTCTATGCACGAGTCATCACTTGCATCTATGTCAATTGGTTGAGCAATATTTGCAGTATCAAGCATTAAGTTTGACCAGTCCTTACTGCGTGCAAATGCAATAATTTCCAAGATCCTAGATACCAAACGACTAAAGCTACATGTGCACAAAATTGCAAGATTTGTTTGCTGTGAAAAATTTCTGCTAAAACTGCAAGCAAATATTTCATGACACTGCAAGAAGTAGGAACATTTCTTAACTCGAAAGTTGCCCCTCTCCCCCCTCCCCTCCCCTCCATCTCCGATCTACAAACAGTACAGCCCACTTTTCCCCCACACCGCCTTCAATTCCTTAAAAAGAAATGGATGCATTTGATTATATACAATGCCATGTGAAATAAGTTCCTGCATATAGTTATCAGATTTCTTACGGTTTTTCAAACAACAATTGCACTTTAAAATTCAATATATGGTATTTCAAAATAATAATTAACAATTATCACTTTATCTGTATTACATTTGCAATATTTTGAATGTAGATCTTTGTCTGGCATAGAATGATAGAGCTCTGCATTGTAGCTATATATAGGAAACCAAAGATTGGCAATAGCAGACCCAATTAATATAAGTCCCTGTTATCAGAGGCAGGATAAACAATTCTGCAAGATGTATAAATAGTGTCTGGTAATTTGAATGTATACACCAATGATAAAGCTCCATGTATATATGAAATAGAAATCTAGATATCTGACATTACGAAAAGGGTCATGTTGGTTCAATTCTTAACCGGGATTTACGAGGCTGTAGTTAGTATTACCCGGGAATTCTATTTTTAGAATAGGCGGATTTGACAAAGCACCAAACGACGGCCTCTAAACTATCATCAACTTAATAACTTTTGAAAATAAATAACTATTGCGAAGTAATTTGTCAATATGCATTAATCAGAGTGATTGGGAAATGAAACACAGTAAAATCCTTTCTCAAATTAGTCATAGACAAGTCCGTCGCCGCGGCCACGCAATGTTTACAACTGAGCTGTAGGCAAAACTTCGCTACCGCCAGGTAAAAGTCTGGGATTGATGCTTAATCAACATACGGGAACATGAACAACGAAACTGATTTACATTGAATTCATTTCATTGAGAATGATTGTGAAATCTCACCGTTTTCGGTTTATTTACCATTAAATATAGCCATGTCCAGGAGACCGTCTATATTGGGTCAGTAAAGTCTGCTCCGAACTGCTCTCCAAGTTTTATTTAATCAAATTTCCATTGGAGTTTTTTTAACAAGTTTGAGAATTACAGTAACACAAAATACGATCACAGAAATACTCAAACAAATCTCTTGCTACTAAACATTTTATTCGCATG